ACTGTTGTGTCGTCTGCAAACTTCATGATTTTTACAGAAGGGTCTCCTGAGGTGCAGTCATTAGTATAGAGGGAGAGCACACATCCCAGGCGGGCACCTGTACTGATAATCCAGGTGCTGGATATGGTTTTCCTCAGCCTCACCTGCTGCTTCCTGTCCATCAGAAAGCTAGTAATCCACTGACAGGTGGGGGCAGGCACAGTGAGCTTGTGAGTTTGGAGTGGAGTATGTCTGGGATGATGGTGTTAAATGCCGAACTGAAGTCGACAAATAAGATCCGAGTATAGGTCCCTGGTGAGTCAAGGTGTTGCAGGGTGTAGTGCAGTGCCATCTTGACTGCATCATCCACTTAACTTCTTTTTATCATGTGATCATGACTAATGAAACAGTTTTATGGTCACCAGTGGTAAATATGCTAATATTTGATCTGTTGCCATGTAACCAGTGCAAAGGGTGATAGCCTGATGGTCACAGAAGAGAGACAGCCGATATCCATCCAGGAGGATTCAAGAATTAATAAAATGCAAATCGTATAAATGGGCCCATTATAAAAGTGCTCCAATGGAGTCACTGCAGCTGTAAATGAAACCTCGCATGTGTGAACGTAATGTAACTGTGATGTGAAACCAGGCCAAAAAGAGCATATGCACTCAAATTCAGGATCAGTACAGGCTTTTTTTGTCAAGAGCGGCAGCATTTCTGGCAAATGAATAGAATAGTTAGATTTTATACTTATTCATGTTCTCATCTACAGTCAGATGGAAACGTCACTTTGACCTTTATCTGTGCTAAAGTTTTAATTAAAAAACTGTTAAAAAAAGAAAAAATAAACACTATTTGTGCTGTGCAAAGGACATTACATGCTAAAACTGTCTCTTGACAAACAGCAGCTGGGTGTGATGTCACCACAAACTAGTCATCACAGTGCTGTTGCCAAACAGTGGAAATACTGCACAGAAGTGCAAAATGTTGCTTGTTACTTTACAGTACACAGCTTCCTCTCAGACCACAAGTTTTCATGTTCATAATGTTGTCTTTGTATAACTTATGCAAACACATTAATTAATGTGCTTTAGAGAATTTCTGAACTTTAGACAAACTGGCTGTTTCCCCGTGTACCCCATCTTTATGTTGAGATCACTGCCTCCCTGCACTTGGGCCACACTTAAAGCGCTGACATGAGAATGTATCTGTCATCTTGAGATGTTTGTTCTGGTTGAGAGTGTGAAATCACTGTTGTGCATCTGTTAGAATATGCTAGCAGATACTTTGAAGGGTTTTTTTTGTACATTACTAGAAGGCTGCAGATGGGGACACATGGTGTTTCTATGATTTCTAGAATAACTGAGGAAAAGCAAACACTACTATGATAAACTGTAATACACCACACAATACAAATTTGATTAGTTGCACTAAAGGTTGTAATTTTTTCAGACAAGTGTGGAGTTAAGCTATGAACTATGAAAGCTTGTCTTTGTGGTAAAGTATTACATTGTAAGATTCCACAACTAGGCTGACATACATACAAACAAATGTCTATAAAAAAATAACACTGCAAATATATAATAATGTCAAGTTACAAAGAGAGTTATAATTAAACTCCCGCTGCCTACTAAGCCATCAAGTTACACTTACTCATCCTATATTTACACTAAAGGTACACACTATAAAACGTACATATTACTAACAATTACTGACTATTATCATGAACGTATTCATCAGACTCTCTGGAGTGAACTAGGCCACAAGCTGAATAAGCCACTATACCAGTTCACCACTAAAAGAAGATGATATGCTCTTGACATGCTCGAAATGTGCTGCTGTTCCTGAAGTCTGTGAACTACAAGCCTTCTAACACTTTTATGTATCTAGCCAGAAAATCTGACTTTTCTTTGACCGAGCTTTGAGATATCTGTGAAATCTCTGCCACCATCCAACAGAGGTGAATGAAGCTTAATTAGTAAAGCTCATAGCAATAGAAAGTTACTAATAAATTCAACAGAAAAGCATCTTTCTAGGAGCCAACTCCTGTTTCTTCTGGATAGGCCACAAATGTTATTGTCAACATTTCATTTAAACTACTTCCTACCTAAGAAGCAGTCCCTATAAAAACTGCTGATGGCATTCAGTGCTGTGATTACCACAAATAAAATTTTAAATTATGTTTATTAGGGTGGAGGAAGTTATTTCAGAGACATATATTTCAGGATACTCGGGATACTGCTGTAAATGTGGAAAATGTTTTTATATATACTGTATAATGACATATACTGTATGATGAATTCAGAGTGTTTTCAGTGTAGCAGCTGATGTAAATCGTTATCTGCAAAGAACTCTAATGTCTTAATGTCTTTTGCATTCATTAACACTGCCACCTTTATACTGGGTCAATTTATTGCCTTTCTCCATTAGATTTAAATCAGTAGCAGCAGTAAAGCTGCTTCCATGCTTGTTCTGTGTCCCAGTGAAACCACAGTAGCCATGATATGGCTAGCACAAGACCATATTATCAACATTGGTATAGACCTGGACCTGACTTGGCATTGAAAGGTGATCTGAAGTTTTTGTAGATGCATCTGACATCTGTGAAGAAAGCTACAGTTGTAACAGTCTGAGGAAATATGCATCTTAAAAGCAGTTTGCTCTCTAAAACAGCCCATAAAGGCATCTCCGAAGGTAGCCGGTAAAGATTTTTTTAACCTGCTATGACGCCAGGACACCAGAGATCATTGTGAAGACCCTAGATAGATGCCATTTTTCATTTTCAGTGGCAGTGCAATTTTCCTCCCCAGCATACAGTTTTATTGTCATATCACCCAAATCTGGCCTCCAAATACTAGCTGCCATTACTGGGTGCCCACACCTTCACAGAGAGTACTTTTCCTCTCAACAGCAAAAACACTTTGATCAGTTTCCTAGCGTTTATTCTTCCTCAGGTGAAAACCAATGAAAAGCAACTCAAAAGCCTCTGCCTCCCCATGGTGCTTGAAGAAAGTCATTGTAATGGAAAGCAAAGCAGCTCCATTAACACCACTACCTGCTCAGCTGGCGTCATCTGCTTGTTTTTAAATGGCTTAATTGGATGTTAGGTGGAAAAAAAAATAGTGGAAAGCCTTTTTCTAGCGTTGGCATGGTGGATAGCTGTGAACCGAGAACCTCCAGAGTCATTCTGACAGTGAGCATTGCCTTATCTCTCTTTCCACATTCCTCTCCAGCTGAGTCTGTTGTTTATTAAGAGCAGCAGATTTATCATGTATCCCCATGGTATACTGTAGCCAATATGAAATACTACAGTACAATACTGTTGCTTGATACTTGGTCCCTGTTTGTAGCCATGTGAACAGTCAACTACTGAGTGCAGCCTCAAAAATAGAGCCACTCATTCAAGTAATGCACCACTGGAAACAAATTTTATCTTGGGGTTTCACAGATAAAGTGAATTCACTGTAAAAAAACAAAAACAGGACTGACGTTGGACCATAAAGGCTTACAGTTAGTTGAACATTCAACCTGCAAGGTTTTTTTTAGCATCCACACTTTCTCTACAACAATTTCAATTACTCGTGTAATTAGCAGAGGATTGTGTTGGGATCATCAGCACCAGCGTACCCTCTAAATCACAAAGAATGATAAATTGTTTGTAGGAAATGCGACCCAGAGTGCAAAGGATTTGAAGTATAGATTAGTCCACATTCTTTTCATCTTCTTGCTGAAAAATAAAAAATGTTTTCACTGAACTAATTAAAATTTGGGCACATTTACTGTAGACGGTCATGGGGTGTGCTGGACCCCAGCCGGCACTGGGCGAGAAGCCAGGTATACACTGGGCGGGTTGGTGCTTCTTCTAAGTAGAAGTAAAAGTCAGCACAGTATTCCTATAATCACTGGTGGAAGAAGTATTCATATCATTTACTAAAGTAAAACTATAAAAATACAGTGTTACAAGTCTTGCATTGAAGATGCTATGAATTATTATTAACAAAATGTGGCTGCAAGTATTTTGTTCTAGATGTAGATGTTAGGACATTTAATTTAGAGCAATACATGGTTTTTTTCATCAGTACCAGCTATTAAACATAAAACTATACTTTGAAACTGCTAAATTTCTTTTCCTTCGAAATATGGAGAAGTAAAAGTCTATAGTGGCAATGGACATGAAAATACTCACAGGTGCAAATAGCACCATGTGTCTGGTATTGTTAAAATACTGCAGATTGTTACAACAGACCAATTGTGCTGTTTTATTGTCCTGTGTCATTTTCTAGTGCTACAGTAAGGCTGCATTAATTCCAACAACACAAACATCTTCAAGGGATTTCAGGCTGTAAATCTGACTCCTATCGGTAGCACAACTTAATCTGGTTTAAGGTTGGCTTTAACTCCATCTGCTGCCGTGGCGACAACAAAACACCCCGAATGTTATTCGCAAACCATCAAACAACACAATAAACGAACATCCCCGTTGCAATGGCGTATAATATACTGCCAAATGAATCAGGCGCAAATCTGGGGATGAAAAACAAAAGTATAATCCCTCTGCTGCTAACGGTGTCACTCAAGGATTAGTGTGCCAAGGAAAAAAATAACACTAAGTACTAGGCGGATACATTAAAAGCTCCACAGGCAACGCTGTAGCTATCCCTCCAGTCATTTCAAAAGCACAGATTGTCATTGTGCTCAGTCCCGATAACCGCAACTAATCTCAACTTCAGATACTCTGATATCAGTTGATTTGAGCCTCTGGGACCAAGTCAACTGATATGGTAAACGCGTGAGGCAGCAGACTCGAAGACATATACAGAGTCAAAGAGAGTGACCTGGTGGATTATTAGAGAAGAGTTGTGACGCCTCGCTGATCATGAGGATTAAGACCAGTGTTTGAGAGCGAGTCACACAGGGGGGACTGTTTCACGGATGGAGCTCTGGTCGGATGGGTTTAAACAACTGGTCCACAAGAAGCAGAACCCCGAAACACACACCAGAGTGAGACATTTTTTTACCTGTGTTTCCAGACGTAAACCATCCAGGAGGACAATCCAAGCGAGATTAGTCGTGGACAAAGGAGAGCAACACTTCTCAACAAACTATTATTAATGATAATCTCGAGCTCCGGTCAAATCCACGGCTGTCGTAGTGTAATTTCCGACGTGAAAAAGAAAGAAAGATATGTCGTCAGGAGAAGTTTGCACCTATAAGCAGTCAAAGGGGAGTTTGTCAATCCTTTCCCAAAATGTCATCTGTGTGCAGTAGAGCCGATGGAGCGGGGAGTTCAGCACCAAGCAGAGTGGACAGCTCCGACGGCGCAGCGATCTCACCGCTGCTGCGCTCTGGTCTCGTGTGCGCCACCGAGGCAGGAGCCACCAGCCCCAACCTCACCTACCGGCTCGGTCCCTACCGGATTTACATACAATCACGCGGGAGAGAGGGAGGGGTGGGAAGCATGAACCAATCACAAATATCCCGTAGCAGGCAATGTAAGCAACCAAAGCGACTGACAGAGTGAATGTGGAGCGGATCAGTAACTGTCCTTGACTAATGCGCGAGGAAATAAAAGAGAGAGGACGAGTTGAGTTTCTCTATGGCTGCCTCACTCATACACATACTGTATGTACATCGCACACACGCATGCACGCGAGTGCTCTAGTGAAGGACTGGTGAATAAAAAGGTGACATCCACTGTTTTGTTCACTCTGCAGTGTAACTGAATGAACTCCAGGTGATCATCATGTGGAAGAATGACCGATAAAAAATCAGCAATGCCTTCAGAGGGACATTTTGTTTGGTTGTTTGTTTCCTTCATTTCTTTACAGGCCTAAGAGTTTGACCAGTGTTGTTTTCACGAAGATGTGTCATGAACCTCTACTATTATTGTTCCATCTAACAGATTCCGATTTTTAAATGCAACCATACTGTATACTGTACAGTTAGTTTACAAATATGATGTATTGTTAAAGACTAAGCTGTCAAATAGTGTCCATTATGAAAAAATGGCACCTTTCCCCTAATTACTGATGGTTTACAGTTAAAACTGCATTCAAACCATTTCAGTTACTTGGCATGCTTTAATATGTAACAATTCATCTTATATTTTATTCAAGTGTCTTATATTTTTTATGTAAAATAATTCGTAAAGTAACTGAAGCTTTCAGAAAAGTCAAATGTCATCAAAGCTCAGTGATGGACCCTTGCTAACAAAGAACCTTGTCTCCTCCAAATAAAATCTGCCACCAGTGAAAGTCCCTTCCTAAAATACAACCCAAGTGTGTTCTAATCGTCCAACTGAAAGAATTCAGCAACGACAAGTGACATTTTATTACAAATTATAGTCCATCAAGTGAGTAACAGAACATAATGTGAGCTTTATTTTTAGTCCTACCAAAATTAGGTGTCAAGAAAAGCCTTTCCACCTTGCCTTTCTTCTACAGGGAGGTCATTATAGCCAACAGTTTCTACAGCTGGTGTACCTGAATGTGCTGTAATTGTACAAACTAGCAACCCTTAAATCTTTAAACCCTTCATATAGCTACAGTACATCAGGCCAATGATATTTATGATGCATGGATGTGTGCAACATTTAGCCATGACACCAAAAGGTTTTGAATGTGCAAATGCAGCTATTTATGCACTTTATCAATACTTAATCATGTGTTTATTTCAGTTGAGTTTTTTGTTTAGTCGAGTTTTTATTCATACCAATTTTCCTCTCTTAATTCATGCTGCAAGACATCAGACCTTTAGATTATGCACTGTACTGCAGGCTGGTCTCAGAATGTTGTAATGCAGTTAAGAAGGTGTGCAGCTACACTATTTATTTATGCCCTCTTCGTTTACTGTGTAATAGATTATACTTTTCCCACTGCATGTAGCTCATCCTGCAAGGTATTTAGCGTACAATATCTATGAGCTAGTTACAAGTAACAATTCATGCCATTTTCATTTATACTATACACTTCTCCATGCTGTCTTGCAAACTGGTGTAATACGACATCTGGTGCCTGCTTGGTCTTCCTCATGTTAGCTTCAGAGCAGCAGGAACAGACAGAGGTGGAACTGTGCAGCTTTCTAGTATTAGTCACTGTGTGTCAAGTCACCACCAACACAAACTTTGGCTGTGTCTCGAGTCAATGATGTGCTCAGTATATGATATGCTGTCTAGGGAATAAGACATTTTCTGGGTTGTCCCAGTGCAAAAACTGTTCTATTGCCAGGAAAGTGCAGCACTTCATCCTCACTACCTGGAATCACAGCACTTCTACTTCACTGCATGTTCATTTAAGAAATGAGTAGAAGGGTGGCTGAACCACTCTGTCAAGTTTAATCCTTATTTTTACAGTGTACCTATAAAACAGGACATATGTTGCTTAGACTGTCATCATCATATTGACAGTATAGTTGCAGGAAAAAAATCAACAAAGTTTTAGTTCCACAATGTACAGCAAATATTGGCAGCGTGCAGACATTTTGTCTTCCTAACTGTGCATCTAACTGAATCTTTCAGAGAAGCCATGATTTCTGATGTCTTTATGTCGTGATAAAAAATTTATAAGTCACTGACTCATCAGTGTCCCAGTGCCAGGCACAAATATCAATACTGGACAACTCAGTAAAACCCCAGAATTTCATCTATCGATAAGTTGTTTTTTTTTATGTGCATTTCCAGTGTTTTTAAAGCTTAAACTTACTCAGGATTACTGCAACTAAATTATGGTCAAAATATGGTTAGGCTTAGTCACTAAAACATTCGGTTCAGCTTAGGACATCGCTACATAAAGGGCACACTAATTCTAATGTGGACAATAATTGGACATAGATTTTGAAGTATGGGACTGTCCAGTATCCACATAACTACTTGGGACACCCATCCATCCATACATCCATCTTCCTCTGCTTATCCGGAACCGGGTCGCGGGGGCAGCAGTCTAAGCAGAGATGCCCAGACTTTCCTCTCCCTAGACAGATTATTACTTGGGACACTGGACTGGCACAAGTGCATGCACACCAGTAGCCTTCTTACTGAGGCTGGCTTTGTGTCACTGCACACCACATGGCAAACATAACACCCTGATAACGCAATGAGTGGCTGTTGTACACAGATTGGACCTAGTGATTCAAGGATTCACTTCTGAAAGTGTCTTTTACTCAGGCAATGTTCAGCAACCATTTCTTGTTAAGCAGGTGTCTGATACAAAGGTGTTCTGGTACACTGGAATTAATTTGACAGAGCTAATCTGCTAGCATGCGCGCTGTCGGCTTACTGGCTGTGCAAGGTGTTAACAATTAGTTAGTGTGTCATGCACAAACAAGTGGCCAGCCCACATGGACAGTGGTGAAATGTTTCTCAGATGTAACAGCTTCTTATGCTGTAGTCATTCATCCAGGAGAACTTATCAGAAATAAATGTTTCTCAGATGTAACAGCTTCTTATACTGTAGTCATTCATCCAAGAAAAAGAAAAAACCCACTATCCCTTAAATTACTATGGAGTATACTGAGAAATAAAACATGAAGTCTTCAGTCGTCTTCAGCCTCATCTAAATGACAGCTGTTCTTTTTAGCGAGACCAGTAAACCTGTTGTTTATAATGATATTGCATTGCTTTGCAATTTCATGTAATTGTTTTCCCTCAGACAATATGTATGCAATTTAGTTTAGTGCCACTGAGAATATTAGACTGTAATGTGTTTTGAAAATAAAAAAATAAATCAGGCCTACTCGCAAGTTAAATCATCATCCAACTGGGTGTTCAACTTCAAAAATCAAAATTGTGAAAAAGGTGGTGTTCCATCAAATCAAAGATGCCTGTGGAGCTTCTTATTTTATTAGAATTCTAATAAATGATAACACAGCACAAATAAATTCAAATTAAATATGAAACTCTGCAGGCATCTTTGCTTTGATGGAAGGCCACTTTTTTAACCGTCTGACATGTCAGTGTTACAACCCAACAGATGTCTAGGGCCAAGTAGTTGCTGATAAACAAATAAAATATTTATAATTATTATTTATGCCTCTTTTTTCTCTGTGCTTTTTGTTTTACCTTGAAAGAAGCATCAGGCAAATTTAAGAGGTGAATTAAGTCGGGTAA